TCGTAAATAACTTTTGCAAGCATTTCACGCTTCACGATAACGCCGAAAAGTTCATTCCGCCAGCATTTCACCTGTCTATTCATTACCTGGTGTGCAACTGAGTCCAACCATGGTGGGTTTGCTTTGACAACCTTCACCGAAAAAGGGATGTGGGGGAGGGACACGTTGGAGAGAAAGGACTTAAACGTATCCCAAGTCGTCTGTATTTCATTACCTGACAAGATGATGCATGGGAAATTTACTGCCTTGGCTCTAATAGACTGAAAGTCGGCGTACCAAATTTTCGGAGTTCGAAATTTGCGTGAATCGTAATCTCTAATGGGAGCACACTTGAAGGACAAACACACATGGTCACTGGTTCCCAAAGGGGGACCATACTCAACGTCTCTCACAAAGTCAACCTACTTTGCGGAAACTAGGTCCAAGAGAGAAGGAGCATGACCATCCGCGTACCTAGTGGGTCTATCGACAAATTGATGTAGGGGTACTTACAATGTCTAGTCGACAATCTAGGCAGCCAATCCTTTTGTCACTGCCTCATAAGATAGGTCACGTCAGTTTACTTCAGGTACGTTGAAGTCCCCAATTACCAAGCATCTGTTCACAAAGTGAGTGCGGATGAAGTCGATGAAACTCCTGGAAGCGCTATCAGGGCTCCTATACAGCAACGGCGTTGACTCAGCACAGACTTCAACTGAAAGAGCTTCGACAGTTCTGTCAGCTGAGTTAAAAGTATATTTTTGATGTTTACATCACATCTGATGTACGGGGCGACTCCACCCCCACGGCTATCAGATGGGCGGTCAGTTCTCAGTAGTGCTAGCCCGCAAGGTATAATTCACTGTCCATGGCGTCAGACGACAACCATGTTTCAGTGAACGCGAGTACATCAGGATGGAAGTTGTCTATTAGGGTCCCAACTTCACACATGAAAACGTCTGGTATGTAGAGCCCCGGGTCATGTGCTACCAGAATGGACTCTAGTAGGGCGGAAGCGGACCGCGGGCTCACCACTCGAAAGGCCACCAAACATAAACCTTTCTTGCCAGCTTTTCGACGCGCTTTAAGGTTTTTGATGGCTTTTTTAAGCTTTATCCTATCCGCTAACGATAGGTCCGGTTGTATGCTCACTCCGGAGCACTTTAGTTTTAAGGCGAAGCGCAAGAGTTTTGCGCTCCTGCAGTGTAGACAGGGCCACGCGCAGTAGACGGTGTCTACTTTTAGTATTGTCACTCGATATGTTCCCAAGCCTAGCAAGTTTTCTAATCGTAACCCAGGAAACCCGGGTGGAAGTAGTTTAGAAACGCAGTTTGAATAAGTGAAGGTTGTCAAGCATGCGATCTTTCGGAGGAGCCGCAGAGGACTCTGCGATATTCTTACAGATATCGCTGCTGTCCGTAAGTGCATCACTACGACGAGGGGTGTTTATGGCACGCGTCACTGTAGCAGTGGCCGGGGCAGCACCCGACTTTATGTCCTCCTTAGTAGGAACAGCAGGTGCACATGATAAGGATTCTAGCAATTAAACAGAACAATTTTCTGCCTCCGTTACCGGGGGACGGAGTATCCACGGAGCCCACCTCTACATCTTTTAGCTTGGCTTTGGTTGTACTGCGATTTTTTTAATCTTACGCCGCTTTGCCTTCGCAGATACACTAACCTGTGAAACTTCCCCACTCACAGCTGGGTTCAATATAATGTCAGAATGTTTACCATCTTCAGGCGCCGTCTCAAGAGATTCTGAATCATTAGAAGCCGTACTATTTGTGCAGTCGTCTGAACGCATACTTGTTTCGAGAACTGCACGTTCAAGGCCTACTACGATTTGATCAACCTTCCCCTCTAAAGAACTAAACAAAGAAAGAAGGATACCCACTCTATCCACTGTTTCAAATTCGTCATTTGGGACTAGACGATATGTTTTGTGCTTTACACAGTCAGGGCAGTTATAAGGTAAATCATCGCTGTTTTCTAGGAGGATATACTGCTGTCTATCCAACCCAGTGCAAGCCTCATGGAACCAACGACTGCAGAGGTCACATTGCATTCCACCCGAAGAACAAGTAAATGGTTCAGAACAGCTCACTTTACCACAAACGGCTGACGAATCGGTTAATGGGTCCGAGGGTGACTTGGAACCGGATATCTTTGCCATCACGAAAAAGGAAAAGTTTTAGGAGGCGAAAGGAGCGTTAACCGGGGTACGGTAGGCTACAATGCAGCCAATGAGAGCAGCAGTCAGATAAAAACCCGGAGTGAGTCCTTCGCACAGATTTGTACTCAAAAGATCACTACAAGTAGCCACAAAGACGGTAACAGGCTTCTCTGTGAAATAACCCCTTAATGTTGTTTGCCGTTGGAGCCGTGCGCGACTTCGCAAGAACGAGAGATTGGTCAAATTCACGCGGTCGAATATCAACGCGGTTTGTACTCAATCGATGAGATATCGACAAAATCCGGAATCGTGTGCGGTGGACTTTTTAAACAGATGCCAAGCAATATTTGGATGGAAAAGCCATGAACAGTAGGCAAAAATTCAAGATCTTCGAACGCCGATACATTAGACATCTCCAACCCCGTTTGAATCACAAGAAACTGACAGTCAAATTTTTCAGTTTTATACAGCACTGTTTCCACAAAAGGCTTCAGAGAAAGAAAGCTCAAACGGTGAAATACGACTACTACGCCGTGACAGACACAATTCTTCGTATTTTAGCGCTTCTGAGTCCTTTTGGATCACAAAAAACCAACAAAAGCCAAACTTTCTGTGCAGTGTTATTCAAATACTGTTCTCAAACAAGAATTTCATTAACGAATATCTCGAACAGTGAAAGACGACAAGCACGCCGTGACCTTGAACAAACCGAGGATGCTCCGAGTCCGTTTGCGCTCTGTCAAAGATGATGGTAATGTCCTGGGCGTAATCCAAGTCCAGAAATCGTTCACTTAGAAGCAGCCCAACATCTTGGAGACCGTCTCCAGCGAACTCCATTTTCATAATTCCGTCAATGGGGAATTCAAAGAGGAAAGGTGACAGCGAGATACCTTATCTCACATGGCTGGGGATATTGAATGCCAGCGAAAGTTTGCAATTATCTCTCACTTTACTCCACATACGCGCGTGCAGCGCCCTACTTATGTTTACATTTTTATTGGGCACATCTTTCCTGAGCAGACAGTCCCAAAGTGCACATCGATTTACCGAATCGAAGTTGTCTTTGATAAAGACATGTCTGACTGCGGTGGGCCGCCTATACATATGACGATGCTCCGACAATTAACGCCAAGTGAAGATATGGTCGATGCAACCTCGATTGCGAAGAAACCTGGTTTTCTTCTCGCGTATCTGACTTTCACGAGTATCCGTCAGTCTGTGGAGAATGACAGACGCAAGCAGTTACTAGGCAATTGAGCTAAACGAATCCCTCTATGTCACATTCCGAACGAAAGCCTCCCTTGGAAATGGGAACAATGACGGAACGGCTCCATTCTGTTGGGACAGTTTCCTGCTTTCACAGCTTTACACGTAAGTTGTGCAAATCATCTACGAGAGCACGTCCCCCGAATTTAAAGAAGGCTGGGGGAATTGTATCTGCTCCTGCGACCTTATTCAATTTCAATGGTCTGATCTCACGTTCGACTTCTGTGCTTTAGGGCACATCCAAGTGGACGACATATAGAGAAAATGCTCAATGCCCACAAAGGAAGATGACAACTCAGGTTAATTAAACTGCTTCTCAGTGTTCGGCCTACCGCTTCAAGCGCGTTAACAAGCTGTTGATCGGCTGTCCACTCTTGTCACGTGTGGTCTCGCTAACACCACGTCTCTTGCTGCTCGTTTAACGTAACAGGCGGAATAACATTACAATGGGCATTACAATGGGCAGTGGCAGCCTCCATCTCTAGCACACAATGAAACTACCAGGTTTCCCGATCTTTCTTCATGCACGCACTCAGTATTGCCCTGAAATCTTTGCGAGTTTCATTGAGTTCGCTTCCAATCAGAACATGTCAGCGAGCAGCCAGAAGTCCCAGGGACTGTGTCTAGGTTGACAATCTGATTTGGCATATAAAAACATGCCTGCCGTTAATAACATCTGGAGTATATGCAAACAGTGATCTTCAACTGTGTTCAGTGGGCGCTTACTCAACCTGGATGCCAGCATATTGCGATCCGCATTCAGAACATCTGGCTTGGGCACTTGGCAAATGTCTATGCGCTCATAGCGTTGTTGTGGGTGTTCGCCGAAACGCAACAGCAGGTCGGCGCATACAAATCTGTGATCAGAGTCCACGTTCGTGCTCCTAATCTGTTGTAACCCTTCTTTCTCTGCTCTCTGCCAGACAACTGTTGTACTGCTTGCCTTGCTGTCCTATGAGACTGCGACTGTCTGACTGCTCAGTCACGCGCCCAGCCAACCGAAGAAATACAAAAGGCTAGAACTCGGTAGAGAGTATATATCTACAGGATAGGTTAACTCTATTAGTAAACGGAACATGCTAATTTGAGAGGTCAAGGTCACTTACTCTTCTGCGTCTGGTTCTCAGCCAGTGTGAATGAAATCCGCTCCACGGGTTTATCATTATTGACGGAATAGTTCGATTCCTTTGACGCGGACTGGTATTTGCTGGCCGATGGATTCTCACTCGATTCCCAAATTCAGCGGAAAAGTCAAAGGTCGTAGCACGCCCTTGCTGATGACATTTGCATGTAGCGGACAGCCTACTTGCTCCGCCTATGGCTTTTTCAAATCGAGCTACAGTTTTTTTTCAAAGTCAACCGACGCCACTAGTGAGATTGCGCGTCGCAATCCAAGACACACGGCGGGTGCTCCAAACAAAACCCGAAAATCTACTTCTAACCGCTGTGTCAAACACTGCTCGCGGAGCTCAATGGCCTAGTGATCATGGCGATAGCCACCAAGCACTATGCGCCGAGTTCCACTCCCAGCTCGGCTATCTCTACCTGATGAGTCTAAACCAAGACGAAACCGTCGGTCGTGGAGTGCAGGGGTGGGAGAGAGCCACACCGAGCTACAGTTTTGTTTACATCCAACGTTAATTAATCGGTTTGCGTACGTGGCTCGTGTGGTGTTGATGGGCTCCATGTCACGCTTCTGCGGGTGCTGCGTCGGAGGTTAATGCTCGCGTAATGGAGACGTGCATCTTCACACAGGTGTAGCAACCGCTCGCCGTTGTTAAAGTAGCCTGCCAACGCATCTGCTGCTCATCGGTGTGCAGTTATCCAGCTTGGGCGTTTCAGTTACCAGCCGACACCACAGAAGATGAGGAGAGGAGGCCAGCCGATGATGTGGTCAAGATAAATGACCGCTCTTACTTCGCACTTGGGCTTATTTACTGGCTTCTCAATCGGGATCCGAAAGACTTTGAACGTGTCTGGCTGAATGCACTTGTTGACATGTTCGGGATTTGCTGTCACTGGCATTTGTGTTGTGAGTTTCCTCGTTGGTCCTACTTCATCGCCTTCGTACCTCCTCTAACCAGGGTCTCATTTCCGACACTTGCCATATATCGAAGCATGATACCATTTATGTTGTTTTTTTGCTTTTATCCTTTCATTGTTTTGTGTGTTTTATTGTAACCCCATAGGTGAGATGTTTTGTACCCCTAGTTAACGCCTAGCTTGATGAGAAAGATAATCCGTTCATATTTCTCGTGGTTTTGAAGATATTATCTTATAATACAATCCTGCTCTTAAATTCATTTCTATTCTCACAAAGTTCCAGTAGCCAGCCGCACTTATCTTTTTCGGCGGGGGAAACCAGAGCATTATCTTGGAACGTTTATGCTATTACTTTTACCTGGTGCTTTTTTACTTGTGCTCTTTTATGCATGTTTGAATACGCCCGTTGAAGCACTTCCCCGTGATCACAACCGCTTGCTTTGGTTACCGCAGTTTTTTTGGCCAGTGGTTATTTTCATACACTATGAATACGTGTAGCCCGCATCATCAATTTTCTTTAGATTTTTCTTGTGCACTGAGAACTGCAACGATGAGCGATAGCGAGGATGAGGATTATGAAAGTGCTGACGAGGGAGGTAAGTCCATCATCGAGGACCATTGCGCCTCATGCTCTTGGACAGGCAATGCAGACCCAAAGCTCATTGGAAAGCTTGAAGTAACACACAATTCTAAGTTGTTTCTCATGTGGATATCTTTTAGGCAGCCACTTCAGTTCATTGTAACACAGTTTCTGGAACAATAGAACACGATGCCCACAATCGAAAAATGGACTCGCTGGATCCCATAGTGAGCATTTCTTGTTTACCATTACTCTGTTACCAGTCGGTCGGTGGCCGCTAGCAGCTGCCTTCTAATCCAGAGGTCGCCGATTCTATTCTGCGTAGGTGTGTACGGCCTCGCTCTATACTGTTGTGTCTTGTAACCAATCACTAAATCACTCAACAACTATCCGAGTTCAAATAAATTGAAAAAAGCAATTTTTTGACCTTCAACAGGAACAAATTCTGTCACCGTGACGAAATGTCGTTGGCTAGGCACTAGGGCACAATATATGGTTAGCCATTCAATTTCAGTAAATGTCGATGAAAACGATTCCATTCGATCCACTACTGTCTGTTCACCCTAAATATTCCTACTTTTGAATGAATTGCTCAGGTTTCAAACTTTGCATTCAATTGTGTCGTAACTACTGACTTTTGGCAGCGACCTGTCTATCTTCCCGGTGCCAACGCCGGTATAGGTGTTGGACGCTGTTTCCTGTTCAAGTGGACTGCTATTGAATGTGTTCAAAAGCGAATCTAACGACAATGTGCCGCACATTGGTGGTGCTTCCAAAAAAGAACGAGGCTGTGACTTCTTGGCTTTACGGACCCAAACCTCGGAGTTAACAGCGACATCGTACGTGACATCACCAGTTCGACGAAACCTATGTCCTGGTGTCCACGTAACCTGGCTATTGCGGTAGCCTTTTGCTAGTACCATTTGCCGTTTGAAGATTACGATTCAGTGAACCGTGTCTTCTGTTGAACTGCTGTTACATTTGTCAGTTTCCATTCAATTTTTTCCGGTCAGCAAGTTTAAGCAGCTTCAGGCTGGAACGCAATTTCCGCTGCATGTTTGCTTTAGGTTGGCGTTTACTTTTAGGCAGCTGCGGATTTGACGTAGTCCTATAGGCAAGAAGACATTTGTCAAGGATGTCGGCCGTCGGTCCATATCCCTCTGCCTTAAGTAATGCTTTCTTGAAGCTATCCACAAATCGCTCTGCTAGACCATTCCACTGTGTTTGGTATGTAAGTGACCACATGTTCTAGCAAAGAATTCCTCGAAAATCTCCGAATTGAACTGACTTACCTTATCAGTCACTAGTGTGCCTAGATACCAGAACCGAATGAAAACTTGATGACAGTTGGGCGAGAAAGCTGGTTGCCAACGTGCGCGTGTTCGCCACAAGGTGTGCTTGGGACAGACCCTGCGACCGTGTTGCCACGGCCCACTGGAAAGCTGACGAAATCGCGCATCAGACATCATGTACGTTGCCATGTCCCGGGTAGGCAGATGAAAACTAACGTGTCCGAGCAAAGCAGTGAACTCGTCAGACGGAGCGGACAGTCAAGTGTGGAGCGTGGGCCTACGAGGAAGACAGGTAGCCAGGCGGTGTTCAGAGGATTGGTGAGACCGACCTATAAATATGAGCGCTCTCGGTTCTCACGGAACTCTGGTCGACTGAGTCTTCTTCTCTTTTCATCATCATCAACAGCAGTACATCAGCCATTTGAACTGATGCTTCGCTGCCATACAACCATGAGGACCTATGAAATAAAGAATAAGAAGAGGGAGAGAAGGGGGACTTACCTGAAAACCTTAATGCCCTAAGCAAACATTCAGGGTCAAGGCGCCTACACCTTGTGTAGACAACATTCCGTCACAAACAGCTGGCTATCGTGCAAAGATAAGGCGGCATCGGCGAGACAGCTTCCTTGCGGCTTTCACTGCCACGCGTCATAATCAGCCATTACCCCGCAGATAACTCAGCACCAAACACACTTTAAACAGACAATCCGATTAGGAGACGGCAGCAGACGCGCCACTGGTGTCGGTTGCGAGCCATGTCCTGTAAAGTCTCGAGCCAAGCACAAGGTGAGTCACGTGGACTCCAACCCGGAAGGCGAGACGGACCAACGGCACCCAGTTTGGTCGTCAGTGACTTCATTTGCCGTTGCCAAGTCAACTTCTGTCCACCTCGAGCCTTGCGCCATCCTACACCTGGCAGACTGAACAAGGCCCTCCTAGGTAAGCGGTGACCAGGTATGCGTAGCACGTGCCCGAGCCAACGCAACTTATTCAGTGCTATCTGTTGTTCTAGGGAGCTAGCAAGATTATCACCACCTAGTACTCGCCTACGCACATCATCGTTGCGGACACGCTGGTGCCATCCGACACCAGCAATGCTTCGCAAACAACGATGATCAAAGACTTGAAGGTGCCTCAGATCTTCAGACCGAAGGGGCCAAGTCTCACTACCATACAGCAAAACGGCCCTCACTGTGGCCTTGTATACACGGCCTTTCAGACGGAGGGCAACTCCCTTCTGTCGCCAAAGATGACGCAGGTTCAAGAAGGCAGCTCTGGCCTTTGCAATGCGTGAGCTCACGTCAGTTTCTATGCGCCCATCATTGCTGATGCAGCTGCGAAGATAAGTGAATTGATCAACCACCTCGAGTTCCTCGTTAGCAAGCGTCAAGGGGTCATCGAGTAGCTGGTGGTCCTGCAGCAACACTTTGCACTTTGAAGGTGCGAAGTGCATACCAAATAATGGGACCACTCTGGATAGGCTATTCAAGGTTGATTGTGCCGCGTCAACATTGTCGAAAAGCAAGACGATATCGTCCGCATAATCTAGATCAACTAACCGTTCACCAGGCAGCACTTCAACACCTACATCGTGAGATTCCGCAAGGGAACACTCCATGATAGAATCCACGACGAAATTGAACAAAAACGGTGAAATCGGGCAACCCTGTCGAACGCCACTTGTAGTCGAAAAGCTATCCGATAGGGCACCATAGACCCTGACGCGGCCTCTAGTGTTCGAGTATAGAGCACGAAGGATGTTCACATATTTCGTGGGAACACCTTTCCGCGCAAGTATTTCGAACAGAATCGATCGATCGACTGAATCGAACGCACTCTTGAAATCGAGGAACACAGCTATTGTCGGTCTGCGGTATGCGCGGCGCTGCTCTAGCACCTGCCGCAAAGTAAATATATGGTCTATACAGCCACGTCCTGGGCGAAAACCGGCCTGCTCTTCCCTAATCCGAGATTCCCGTTCTGCAGTGAGGCGACGAACGATAATCGAGGCCAGTAATTTTGTCACAACTGGCGTTAGGCTAATACCCCTGTGGTTCGCACAGTCTGTGCGACTGCCCTTTTTGTATATTGCCACTATAATCGATTCGCTCCAATTAGCTGGCACACTCTCTTCGTTCCAGATACGTTCGAATAGGAGGTCAGTGCTTTGCAGAGGACCTCACCTCCATCCTTAAATAGTGCAGGTGGTAGGGAATCCGGGCCAGCGACACGAAAACGATTAAGGGCTGTGATCGCGTTTCGGACCTCGGCCTCCGACGGAGGCTCTAAACTAACCGTCCATGGCTCGTCCTGCATCACCTGAGTAGGAAGAGGTCCGGGAGCAGGGGGCCAGCTGAACTGATGTTCAAAGTGCTCAGCCCAACGAGCCATACGGCGCTCCTTATTGTGTATCAGCGCACCCGCGCTGTCCCTGATTGTCTCACTGACGCCTGGTTTTCTCGGACCAGTGGTGCGTATTAGCTGGAAGAGCTTCCGGTAATTGCCCACTGCTCCTGCCTCCTCCATTTCTTGAGCCCGACTGGTCCACCAGGCTTCCTTGTCAGCACGTAGGCTCCGCTTTAGTTCACGCCTAATAGCCCGTCTGGTCACATTGTGTTCAGAACCAGCCGGAAGGTGCCTGCTAGCTTCCAAAAGGTTCACGGACCTCTCGGATATCCAGTGACTGGTGCGATGACGACTGATAGTGCCACAAACAGATGCTCCTGCGTCGTGCATAGTGGCCGAGATCCTATTCCACTGAAGTTCAGTGTCATTAGGACAAGACAACGAGAGTTCGCTATGCAGTGCTTCTTGATAGGCTTGCCTGATAGAGGGCTGGGACAATTTCTCCGTTGCCAATCGGGGGAGACGCTTTGTGCGCCTTCCGGTAAAGTTCATGGAGAAACGACAGCGCACCAAGGCATGGTCAGAGTCGACACAGGTACTCCAGTACGAGCGGCAATCCAGAATGGAACCGCGCCACCTGTAACCTATGGCTATGTGGTCAATTTGGGTCCATCGCTGGCCAGCTACAGGTGGACGCCAAGTGGCACTTCGGCGCCCACTGTGTCTAAAAGCAGTGCTAGTAAGAAACAACTGGTGCACCGCACACAGTTGCAGCAGACGCTCACCGTTGTCAGTCCGCTCGGAGTTAAGTCCATACTTACCACCCAGCTGAGCTTCTGAAGAGCTCAGACGCCCTACTTGTGCGTTCATATCCCCTGCAAGTACTATAATATCTGAACTAGTAGCACTGCGTAGCAGCGTGTTCAGTTCGTGATAGAAAGTGTCCTTGACTGCATCAGAACTGCAGTCGGTGGGAGCATAAGCAGAAATCACAAACAAACAGCGTTTTGTTTTACATCGCGAATTCCCCTTAGCTGATGTCGTCAAACGGGCTGCACATAAACGGCTGTTCACCGGAATCCAATCAACCAACGATGGTTCAGCCTTGGAGCTGAGAATGATACCTACACCGGCTTGACCCGTGAGTGCCGCATCGGCGTCTCCGGATGCGTGCAACCAATGACGAGAGGATAAGCCGGGTGCAGCTAATTCAATAACCCCGTTAGGGTCATTAATCCTAGTTTCGGACACACAACACATCAATATTTAGTGTGTCCAATGTGCGTGCGAGTGCAGCCTGTTGATCTGTTTGTCTTAGAGTGCGGACGTTGAATGTCGCCATGGAAACGGGACAGCGTGGCCTTATAAGGAACTTTTGCCGATAGGCGTCCAATAGGTGCGGTGGGATGGTGGCTGCAGACGGTACTACTCCAGTAGCACTTCGGTTGTTGTCAATTAAGCTGGGAATTATAGAAGGAAGGTTAATAATGTGGGCCGGGATGGGAGTAAGAGAAAAAGGTGGAAAAGAAAGAAGGGAGGCGTCAGCAGTAGCATGTTTTCGCTTATCCGCCCTGCTGTATGCAGCAGAT